GTAAATATAAATGTGGTTAAACCGGACATTGCAACTGCCTATCTATTTTAAGATGCCATTAATATTCTCTAGTCAGTCCATGAAATGAGATAAATTAGGAATTGAGTTAAAAAGAAAAATAACCAAATTGTATATCTCTACTGGTCAGAAAGTGTTTTGGAATAGTAAAATTAGAGCTATATGTGTTGTAGTATTATAATAACACTATGTCTGACACAATCTGTTCCGGTTAAATATAGCTACTTTTTGCTTAAAAACCAGTTCCAAGAGATAACGTAATTGTAATGTTTGGTAAGAAGTGCTGATCTGAAGTACCCGCCAAATGATTGATGTTATATTTTGGGTGGGCCTTACTGAAGTCTTTTTACAATTTCTGTGTCTTTGAATATTGTATCTCTTGCAGTAAAACCTGTCTAATCCGAATAAAACCTGTCTAATCCGAATAAAACCTCTCTAATCCGAACGCCTCTGGGACTGCTCAAAAGTGTTCAGATTTGCAGGTGTTCACATTTCAAGGTTTTATTAATATGTAAGTCAATGGAGATAACAAATTTGGGGCTGAGAAAAAAGTGTTCAAATTGAGAGGTTTTTAAATTAACGAGGTGTTCAGATATACAGGTTTTACAGTATATATATGCAGTACTGTATATTTTCCATCTACAAGGGATGCAACTTCAAGGTTAGACACTAAAATGCTGATGTGACAGTAAATTCCTTAGGTCTGTGTTTAATGGGCTCCCCATAAACATTTACCGCTTCTTCTACATTGGGTTTTCTATGTTATTACCAGGCATATGAAATAAAAGTGTCAGAATTGCCCATAATTCTTCTGTCTGGAGAAAGTGGAGTTATAAAACTAGATTCATATATGTGAGCTGAGGCACATGTAACTATACATATTCTCAATTTGGCACATACTGTTATTAACAGTTGTTTTTTCCATTTTGCCATATGTGCAAAATCCAGATTTCTTATAGCTTCATTATCTGGCATTGTGGTTAGTGTTGATAGGCTAAAATCATTGAACTTGTTTAGGTGTGATATATCACATATATGCATTCCCCAAAGATTCTATTATATAAGACATGTGTTAAATGAGGGTAATTAACAGAGTGAAAGGCTTTTAATTAACTTCCATGGTTATCTCTTGTAGACTCATCCTGACTTGTGTTCTAATTGGAACCCTAAGCTAGACTGTTTAGATAACATATTATAAGTCTTTATTGCTAATTACACAGTGTTGTAACATCATTTACTGATACTTCACTATTTATTATCACCACAATATGCTCAAGCTATTTTGTTTGTTTAATCTGTTCATTGATAACAACTTCCATTTTAGGAATCTTCCTTGTAGAGGGAACAATTTTGGACTCCACATATACTTTTTGAATATGACTGTTGTTCATTTTATGCTCTGTTTTTTTTCTGTTTACCCTATGTTCTTTGATTTGCTTGCCCAATTTTCAGGATTGTTAACTTGATGTCGTTTTTCTGTTTGCCGAATGTTTTATGATTATCTGGTTGCCTAATGTTTTAGGACTGTGGACCCAATGTTTTTCTGTTTGCCTAATGTTGTAAGACTGTTAACCCAATGCCGTTTTTCTGTTTTCCCAATGTTCTATGACTGTTTCCTCATATACATAGTTCTTTTGTCTGTTTTCTAACTTTAATTGTCTGTCAATTATATGTTATTTGTCTGTCTGTGAAGGCCATGTGGTCTCTTAATACCTTCATGTATGACATGAAAGTTAGCAGTATAACATGTCTACCTGCCCATCTAGTGCTCTATGGGCTCTATGAATTCCACATGCCCCCAGCATTGCCCCAGCATGTTCTGACACCCCACATAAACATGCCTGTCCAGGGGTAAAGGAAATATTAGGTCATCACACTTTAGGAGCACTTGGAGTAAGCTTCCTGTGTTTTGGCATGGTCTGTTACGGTAGGTGCTAGATATTAAAAATATCTTACCTAGGGTTTGTGTTTGTATGTTTCCTGGCTGGATAGGACAGAAGGGGAGAAGTCTAGCATGGAGGGATTCATGTTTGTGTTCTTAATGGGGAAAATTAGACTGGTTCAAGTATTGGGGAATCCTACGCATTTTTTTTTGTGTTTGGAATTGAAGATATTTTTGTTCATTTTAAAGTATATATGGAATCAATATGTTTCGGTGTTTTTGCCCCACTTGCAATAATAAATGTCAGCTGTTCGGCTGGTTAGTATTTGGTTGTATGATTAAATGTAACGGTGGGATACCTTTTACCAATATACCACCTAGGATCCATTTGATGAGGTACCTTCTAGACAGTTCACAAATACTCACTCAGCTGTTTTTGCGCTGTTTTCAAAAAATGCTTTTGACACTTTTATGATGTCTGCAACTTTGTTTAGTATCTAGTCTTAATCTTTCATGTTGTAATTTAATTCAGTATTTTTCATTGTTCGTTCATTGGTGTGTAAGAATTCTCCAAGGAAAGAGTCTGGATGAAAGTTGTTCTACACAGCGGGGTGATCCCTGTGTGCTTTTTGACTGGCATTCTCTGGCCAAAGAACCTGGTGTGTTTGCTTCTAAAGGTTACTTTACAATTATTTGACACCAAAGTTTAGGGAAATACACACCATGTAAATAGTTTTGGAAGTGCTAGGTAAACTCAGTAGTAGTTAGTTACACGAATCACTTACACTATTTCCACATCTTCATTTTACAAACATTTATCTGTAAACCTTGTGTAGTTGTTCCTGGAATCTGCTGTAAATAAACTGAGGGTGATATATGCAAGAACCTCTTAAATATATATACCAAGGCAGAATCTAAAATGCCCATCAATACATCAAATTGAATTTTAAGAACTGTCTTTAAATCTCTGATTTGATGCCTATGGGCATGACTTATAAAGATGTGATTGGAGTGTTGGGATAAATTACTGAGTGTCATAGATCACAAATAAATATGAAAGGAAAGACAAAAGTTTGAATAAATTTGTGGGTCTACACCCTAGGCCAGCTCTGGTCTATGTTGGAGGGTGTACTGATGATAACACAAGTAATATCTCATGCTAGAGGTCTTACCTTTAAAAACAGATCTAAATCTTGTTTGAAAAATAAGAACATTTATAGAATGATTCAATGTTCATGTGAATGATTTTTAAAAGTACCAAAATTCATAAATATCTCATACCTTTTGAACCAGAATAAGGAAGATTGGATTGGATAAGAATATGTTTGTAAGGTTCTTCATTGTTATGACACTACACAGCCCCCCACTTAGAGAAAAGCCAGTCCTCAGAGTGGTAGATACACCAAGCATTGATACCTTCCTGTAATATATGGCAAATAGCTCTGCATCATTTCACTTACTTCCTTTATTTGACAAAACTAATTGCTAATTGTGTTATAGTTTTCAATACCTCCTAGTGTTGTATAGTTGATGTATCTGGATATAGCAAAACAACACTTATTTTGAACTTGTGATATTTTAGAGCTATTTTGTTGATATGAACGTGATATGGGCACCTGTGTATAACCACTGCATAAAATTGGATGTTTTTCTCTTCGTATCCTACAACTGCTTTCATATTTAAAAATTGTTTCTTTTTGGTTTTTTTTGGTTTATTTGGTAGGTTTATGTAAGCAAGTCAGATACATTCACCATATATTTATTGAGTGTAAGATTAAAATACTAGAAAGCAGTTGAATACCAAAAATTTGACTTAAAGTGTTTAGTCACAATCAAACACCTTATTTGCATCTATATATCTTAATCAATTATATTCTGACTTCTCTGCAATAGTGTCAATTTGAAAATCTCTGTTAGAGTGCCAGTTTTGACTTTATTGCAATAAGGTGCTAGTGTATGGACTTTCATATCCTGACTAGCTCAATAAAGCACTCCTAGTAGTCTCAATGAATAGCTTAATACTTCCTTCTTTAATCGTTTGTCTTTATAATAATCAGTGGCATGTATGAATGACATGCCAGAGGTCTATCTCGTCACATTCTGTCACGCCAATGGGCCATTGTTGTTACTGTTGATCTACTGTTATGAGCTAGCGATCATTACTATTACGGTTTTAGCTACTGAAACTAGGTATTATCTGTTGGTTTGATTTGCATCATAGATCAATTGGCATGATTGGGGCAAATAAAACACCAAAATAGATAGTTTATGATCTAATATAAATTTTTATGGTTGTTCTTTGCAAACTGAGCTCCATTAGGATTTTTTTCGTGATGCAATCTGAATTAATGATATTTTCCTTTTATACACCATCAGTAGTTGAGAGGTATGTTTGTGGTTTAAAGATTGATAACCTTAATTGTTATAGCAAAAATATGTGTTATAATTATGCTATGTTTCATTATGCCAGTAGGTGATTTGTTATTATTATGAAATATTGTAAAGGTATATAGCAATTGCTTTATTGTTGTCATATAGCATCCACAAACAGACAAACAAACACACAAACAAACATACAAGCAATATCACTAGGTCTGATCCTGCATCTCGCCTATTTTCATTGATACATTTGTATAACTTATTACTGAGGATGATGATTTTGACCTATGTGAAATAAATACTTCCGGACCTCAACTCCAATTTGCCTTCAATGTTCCCCGAGCCACATTGTCATCATTTTGCATGACACGAGACAATATATCATTTCACAAACTCTCTAATCAAAAAATTACATGCCACGCTTTTATTAGAGCAGCTTTCCACTTTGCCATTTTTAGATCAACACCATCAGGTGCTTTCCACTAAGTGCCTTCCTCACTTTCATCATAAATTGGAAAAAGAGTGGAATTACCCAGGATTATATCATAAAAAAGTGGCATTCTGAATCCCGATTGGTTGAAAATAACACCCGACTTTGATTTCTATTGGTTGTTTAATCAGTGGTTTAAATTGGTGTTGTATATTGATTTATTGTGGTTGTGTTTATGTAAAAAATAATTTAAATAATATTTTAATTGAATATTATTTTTATGTGTTACAGGTTCATAAATGCTAGGAGGCGGATAGTACAACCTATGATTGACCAATCAAATCGTGCAGGCAAGTCTCCAATAGTAACTGTGTTCAAATCACGACGGCGTAAGTCAACTACTAGTGCCCCTTCTCCAGTGGCGCCCCCTTCACCAGGTATTTCCCAGGATGCACCAGGCAAAAGATCAAAATTTCAAAATCGCAAACAACCACAACAGAGCTTTTAACAAGAGCTTGGTACACCTTATAAAATAGAAATTTATATGACAAATCTAACTCAAAATTTCACACTTGCACAGCCATATACATTTGAATGATAAATTTAAAATTCTTCTCATTTGCTTAAGTTCTTTCTATCTTTACTTTGCACCCATTATTTCTACTTAGTGTACATGTACTGTACGTATATATAGCTTACACTGCCTACTAACTGTTTATTTAGTTATTCTAGTCTTATTTTCATTTTTGGTCTCCCAAATCTTTGTTTTATGATTTCCATATTTTTCTATACTGTGCCTTCTATTCACTTATTCTTTTTATTCATTTTGAATTTCATTATTTTTATTACATTTATCTTATCTTATTTTTCAATGGCATTTACTTTCTATTGAAGAGAAATAAATATTTTATGAAAAGCTCTTGTTAAAGTCCTGAATTAAACTTAAATGACCTTTTTCACATTGACCTTGATATATTTGTATTCCTGGTGAAGTTTATAGTAAGTTGACTTACAAAGAAATGATTTAATTTATTATACATGTATAGTTATGTTATGTAGTGTGTAGTTGATAATATTGTATTGTATTGTGGTGATGTGGTACAATTGGTTGTGTGGTAGAATAGCTAGGTTGTGTGGTGCAGTATCATACTAAATATGAAATTACATATAAGAGGGATCTCATGGTTGTCATGGTAAAAAGACAGATATTTTAGAATTCATTCAAAACTGGCTGAATTGGCCAGAGAATACAATCTACTCAAAAATACCTGAATTGGTCAGGCAGTTTCAAAATCTTAGAAAATAGAAAACAAATTAAAAATATATTTGAAATGACAAGATACAAAGTGAAAACTACTAAAATGTGGCAACCCTGGATCTGTTACTTTGGTTTCATCTTGAAATCAAAGGCTTATACTCTGATATAGCTTTTAACTATTTTAGCTATTTCACAATATGTTCAATTCCCATTTCATTAAAAATAAGTCTTGAATAAAAGCATGATTATTCAGGACTTACGCCTCATCGGTCCTCATTGCATCCTAGGCTAAGGGAAATATATGCATGTACTGTAAAGCCTGTCAAGTTGAAGACACTTGTCTCTAATATGTTAGTAACACTGTAACAATAGTATTGTCATGCTCATTGGTAACACAATTCTCTAAATGTAACGCATGAATCAATGAATGTTATCATTTATTGTAACTTTTTCTAAACTTAAATGTGGGAACAATTTTTGTATATTCCGCATGGGTGTTCGTTTTGAGGGTAGAGCACTTTCAAATTCACTGGTCCATCAGGTGTCTTATATTGGCAGGTTTTACTGTATTTAATATTAGAGACATATGGTTGCATGTCATGAAATAATATTAAAACAAAAAATGATGAAAAGGTAGGATAACATAGTAGATATGATGAAAAATTGCATTTTCTTGTTTAGCCTTGGATTATCAAATCTTCATCAAGTTCTTTGCACCATGACAACATTGTGATGTACATGTATATAGCCTTGCAGGGGTCTTTATATATACAGTAAAACCTGTCTAATCCGAACGCCTCTGGGTTTGGCCAAAAGTGTTCAGATTAGTAGATGTTCACATTTCAAGGTTCTATAAACATGTAAGTCAATGGGGGATAACATATTTTGAACTTAGAAATGTTCACATTGAGAGGTGTTTGGATTAGAGAGGTGTTCTGATATACAGGTTTCACTCTATATATATTAGACGTTGCCTCTTATTTAATGTTTATATCTTTTTTACGCCATACCTACTAAGTTCCCTAAAATAACACCTGAATTAACCAAGTTACACCATCTAACTATGTCCAAGTATGCCATATTGCTTTTTACACATTAACCCTTCTCTTTAGGTTAACCTTGTATGTTCTGATATGGAAAAGAGTTGGAGGCTAAAGGGTTAATCATTGCCTGGGAATGTTACTAGGCCAGCTGCTTTGGGGCCTGTACTCCAGAAAATATCCAGAAATCTTTGTTACAAACATTTTGTTATATTTTGCGTGTACACTTGTTACAGATTAACATTTCTCCAGGTGTTCACAACATTTGGAAATTGTGTCAAATTCGTATCAATTCAAAAAATGCTATGAAATAAAGAGCTCTTGCTACAGTCAGGAGAATCAAATCTTGATTTTTATAAGAGGATATGTCACCATCGTTGATCTATAAAAGGGTTCAGACTATATAAAAAGGCTATACCCAAAGCATTTGTTGAATCATTGATAACATTTTAAAAACAACTATTTTTATAATTCAATATTGATTTATGAACAAGATCCTCTCTTAATGTGTGTATATTTGATTGTCAATATTTTCATATCATTTTATTACAAATCATATCTGCGGTTGAACCTAAAACATCACAGCTGATTTATGATTTCAAAATTCAAAGGATGTTTTGCGACTAAACAGGTTTGGTTTGAAACCTCTGTTCTAAAAAGAAGATAGCGTTTTGAGATAAAAGCTTGTTTTTAAGTAAAACGCAACAAATTGCTCAAGAAACAGTTGTTATTTAGTAAACAATTGGCAATGTTTATACAGTCCTAGTATTTTTAAAGGCTCATGTTTTACATATTACTTTAACACAAAAACTATATCGTACATCCTGAAAATTATTAATAAAACCATGGGCTTTCAATTATCTAGTTGAAAGCCTATGATAAAACATAAATTGTATTTTTTGCAAATCTTGATTCTTGTTTCGAAATTCGGATACCTTTTAGTATCCAAGATAAGTTATATTCAAGTGGTATATTGGAGTCAGAGATGAGTACTTAACACAAGACTGTTTTAATAACATGGTCTGTGATCACTTTACAAAACAACAACTACAAAGTGGCCTGCTCTCTTATATATATAGAGCTATATACTGTGCACCTGACATGTTCACATGAAGATTTCCTTGGCATGGAACATTCCTTAGATTTAATGTTTTATAACAATAATATCATGTTGATTTCGTCATAAGGTATGCACTGTACCAAAATGTGCTTTTTCTCCAATTAAAACTCTCTTTACTGAATAATAGTATTGCACAGATTGTTTAACATGCACTCCTAGTATAACGAAGTGCCATACATAACGAAGTGCCATACATAACGAAGTGCCATATATAATAAAGTGCCATATATTGTAACCAGATTTACCAAACAGTCTAATGCACATTGTCAAGTTTTGGCCCGATGTATTGGTTCATATATCGAGGCAGTGTATAAGACTGTTCTTAAACATGTTGTTAGTCTCACATAAAGCCCTTGTTCTTTACCTCTACCATACATACCTGCACAATTAGAGAAATTGATGGAGGATGGAGGGGCTTTATGTAAGACTATGCACCATTTAAGATTTTAGTGATAACATCCAGTAGTTATTTAGTATGAAATGACATTGATAAACATGTACTTATTATTTATAGTAAAACATGGTAAGTTGTTTGTTTAGATTCAGGAAGTCTTGCTACAAGTCCCTTGTTCCCTTATAAGCTATTATGTTGGGTAAACAGGGGCTTAATGCAAGACTGTAATCGAGGGATTTGTTGTAGATAGTGCATGCACTGCAATATGTGTCTCTGTGTCTGCTTATTTGGTATTTTGTGTAATGTTGTACTTTTCATATATTGTTTTGGGTATTGTTCAGAAAAATTATTAGGGCTATCTGATAAATTTCTACATATGCATTAATATCATATGGGAATTTTATTGGGAATCCAACTGATTCGACAATAAGGTATTTTATGCTTGATTTAGTATATTCTAGTATTTCAAAATAAACAGTTAATGTATTTTACATATGATCTGTAAATAAATTAAAACTCAACTCAACAGGATATGTAATATTGTTTGTGTATAATAACATAATATAACAGTCTTTAAGATGAAATATTACAATTCGTGCTGTACAAACTTAGTTTTCAAGTAAAAGGAAATTTGGAAAAATTATTTTTGTATTCCACATTTTTCTTGTATGAATGTTATTTAAGTGAATTTTGTCCCCTGTCTTTAGGTCCCAGTGCATATAGTCCTGATGGTGCGGGTATGGGGTATATGGAAAATCAACAAATGGCACACATGAGACCACCAGGTATGTTATTGCAAATCATAAATAGGAAACAATAGCCATGCTTTTTCCATGGAGAAAACAGTATGAAAGAGAAAAATGGGGGAATACTGTGAGCTGGTATGAAACCCCAAGTCCCATTTGACGTGATGATGCTAGAATTACAGGAGGTTCATTTATCCGTGAATTTCAAATTGTGCGTGACCTCTTTTAAAAATGAGAAAAATCACTTCTACAGTATTGTTGCGTTGAGTGATTTAAATAGGCTCTATGTAGTGCAGCGGTATATATCTATTTAAAAAGGATATCTTGAAAAATGTGTTGCTTTGCGTTGATTTAGGTGTATGTACTGGTTATAAGCTTTAAGTGGAATAAAGTATGAAATGTAATGTATTCCCATTTTAACCTTAACCTTAACTCTCATCTTTTGCAAGAAAGTACTTTTCAAGATTTATTCACATGTTATGCAATATTAGGTTTAAATTCTCTTGATTCTATTCTATTTCTATGATGTCCCTTGTATTTCCAAGAACCTTGCTATTGTTGACCTTGGAATGTCTTGATCTAATGAATTGCATTTATGTCAATTTTATTGAATCATCCATGGATTTTCTCTATTTAGAACATCTATGAAAATATAGCATAGTTTATGACACTTATGTAAACATGTCTGCAAAATTAGCTTAGGAAATAATGACTTAGAATCAGAGAGAACATGTGCAACTAGCATTCTGATTTATCAGAGTCTCTTATGTAACCATGCTAAGTTCTGCCTTATGATTGGTCCATCAAATTATGGTAAATAAAAACTTATTTTTTCTTAATATCCCACAAGCTCCGCTCTTTAAGAGAGGCTGTTGATTTCATATATAATATACTGCCAGTATGTATATTATATTAAATTTATGTTATTGTAGTAGCCACATGTGCATCACTTCTTAATGAGTGTAACAAATTAATGAAAAACCTACAGCAATAAAAACTCCATCAAAATTAAGTATCATCTCGAAGAAGAAATAACTGGCTTCCTTAGTATAATTGCCTCGTCACTTGTAAAATTCTGAGTCCATTCGGTCTAATATAAGACTTGTGTTCGTCAAATAATAATCTGCGATTCTATTTCCAGTAATTAAGTTTAACGTCTATTTTAGTGTTGAAGGTATAAAAAGACTGTAAATGTACTTTTCATGCAGTGTAGATATGATACGTACAAACTCTGTAGTGTACTTAAAATGGGATAAAAGATTATGTTAAATAAGACAGTAAAATGTTATAGCTCAATCACCTGGTTGGCCAATTTGTGAAAACAATGGCTGGATTTTACAGTCCTATTGTTTTATATTAAATTAACATTAAACCAATTTATAAAACTGTGTAAACTTAATCTTTCTACCTTTTTATTTACCTGTAAAGTGTGCACTATTTTGCATCAGAAAATGATAGAATTTAAGGAGTGACTTAGAACATCATTCAGTTTTGCATAGTATGTAGTTCTGCGTAAATATTCCTACAAAGCACTAATTTTGAGTAATTTATATAGATCTAGATTTTAATTTTTAATTTGATCAACAGTGTTATTAACGGATCTGATGCATTGTGGTTGTATTAGAGAAATACAACCCATCACTAGCAAACAATTAACTTTCGACAGGTTTCTTAGAGTTCCCTAAGTGAAATAGAATCGCTTGCATAGTCAAGTAATATCCGGACAATTTGCGTTCTACTCTACAAAGAAAACCTTAAAAAATCAATTAAGAAATTGTAGAGGGTGGGGGCTATTGAAATGTAAAAGGGCATATTAAACTGTGAGCTTTCTTGAGCAATTTCACTGAATTTGATTAGGATAAACTGATTTTCTTATCAAAGATGGATTGAGAATGAAATTGAAGCTGACATACTGGACTGGGAAAAAAATCCAGCCTTATTTCAGCATTAGTGACTTTCCGTGATTAAATCATCGACAAGGAGATTGACTTTCACCAAAAGGTGGCATTTTGGCATGGGACGTAGAATTACGCTAATGTGGATATTTACTGATTCTGAGATTGAGATGTATCATAACGTGGTAGCAAGCAAATCTAACATAACAAATGAAAAATCCATTAAACATAAATGGGATAAGAGCCTCAGTTGCATTGATTTTGTAATTACGCGACTGATATGTTAAGAAATGGGTCAAATCGGAGTACTGAGTTTCTCTCAATTTGAGATTAATACTATAATCACTTCATATTCTAATTATATAACTAAGGTATTAAAATGAGATTTTTAAACATTTCAGTTGAACATATGAAAAATTATCCATATTTCATCTCGTCTCGAAAAAGTTAATTCAAAATCAATAAGTAAAACAACTCTATCTGTTATGGATCTTGTTAAAAATAAATGGTGTTTTGATAGAACAAAAGTTCAATTATTTTTTGTGAAATAATTTAATGGATTAAATCAGTTGTAGTTGATAGCATCTAGATATCAAAAGAATAAAAGGTCGGTGTGATGGAATCTAAATGATATTTGTAAAGTTGAGCACATTTGGTGTATTATCTAATTTGCATCTATCACACATATATATATTGTCCAAAGTCTCATTGATTTTCCCTTGTGGAAAATACTGCATTATGTATGTACAGTGATGAGTTTATAATGTGCGTCCCTAGACACTTATAATGATCTAATAACGTATACAAGATAGTATAAAATAATTTGCATAAGACATCTTCACTTCAATTATATAGTCTTGTAAAAAATCAAACAATAATGAAATATTCCTTTGAAATGTCGATACAATGTAACATTATTGACATTTGAATTGCAAAAGTAAACAATTGAGAAAATATGAAATTAGAATGAGGTAGTTTTACTTCAACATTACAGTATACCCCCCGGGCTCCCCCCTCCCTCTGTAACATACATAGGTATATAGAACAAGAAATTATGGTAAACTCCTGAAAGTAATGTCAAGAATTCTCAATATCCCCATACTGTAGCAATTACCCTGTCCTGTCACTGTGAGAATGATTAATGGCCCCAAATGGAAATCTACACATTGGAAACTCATTGCAAATACACTGATTTTCTTACACTAATCTTTTCCCAATCTTTTTCAAGCTCTGTTTTAAGATTTGATATCCAGCAATCTGCTGAATTTGGAGTAGATATTCTTTTACATTAATGAAAAGACGCCGCTTCAAAGAAATTTCCGAATTGATCATTGACCTATTTCTTTTCATAAATGACTTTTTGGCTAGATCTTTTATTTGAATCAAAATTAATCAAAAAAATAAAATATTATACAGTCCATTGTTTTTTAATTCCACACAAAGAGTTTGACATAGTCAGTATATTCCAATTATATTGCCGGTTGTATTATATTACATATTATTTTATAAAACTGACCATTTACTTAATTTTACTGCATCAATCATGATTGATCATACTCACGGTGTATAACCCAAACGCTCCTACATGCACGACGGAGCGTTCCATTACTGAAATTAAACAAAGAAACGCTCCGGAGTAGAAAAACTGTCTGGCGGGAATGATGAGCCGTCTGACAATTTCCCCAATAATGGGAATAAGAGGTATGAGTTACATATTTCGAGTATACCATTCGATGGGTGTGATATTCATGTTGTACGTGGCTGGCTGTTGACGTTTGAAGCAATTAGGAAGAGCTGTACGAAGCAGTATAGTTATCAAAATTCAAAAACGCATTTGTCATTCTACCGGTCAAAACCCCTTTTGTCGATACTTGTGATTAGTTGAGCCAAGATTAGAGCACTAACGTATATTTTAGTCAAATTCCAATGCTTCAACGCACCATACATTATCGTAATAGTGATTTGATGACCGAAAATCCAGTCTTAAAAATGATGACATTCTCATATTCAAGAAACGCTCCGATCTGGTTAACACAGTGAATTGGAAACGCTCCGGTGGTCTAGATCAGTTAAGGAAATATATAGCTTGCCTTTCCTTTTCAGGAAGAGAAAGAAAAGATCTATTATACCCCTTGGCATCAATAGAAGAAAGATTAATTCACATATAACTTTTCGTTTTTTTCTATAGTTTTATGATTTAGCACATATGTAGGCATGACATCATCTAATGTATAGGCTTTAATCAGCTAGTTGCACGTTTAGCACCACCAGGTTCAGATGTTTCAATTTGCCTAACAAGTACAACACGTTTTTGAGAGATAGATTCGATTCGGAACTCTTCTCTAATAATCTGAAAATGATATCAAAACAAAATGGTAAGAGCGTTTCTAAAATTGTGGTCTAAATCGACGGAGCGTTACGAGGAAAACAAGCGATTTCTCGAGAACAAGTAATGGATTTGGACTGGGATTTTAGGAAATGAGAATATACGAGTTTATGATCTACTGCTTAAACAGAAAGATTAACGTTTTCATAGAAATACTAGTTTAATTCGTAATTTGTGGTCAAATCGTCATCTTCAGATTCGTTCGATCTACACTACGGAGCTTTGATCAAGCAAATAACAGTTTACCACCAAAAGTTGAATAAATAAGATCTTTGCTCACGGTATTGTTCATCGAATGGTACATAATATTTCACCATGACATATGATATGTAAGAGAAACGAGAGAAACAATATTACGGTCATAGTAGAATCTTCATTAGCCGCCATTTTATTTCGCTCCGGAGCGTTTCCGCGTAAATGTAACGCTCCGTCGTGCATGTAGGAGCGTTTGGGTTATACACCGTGATACTATATTATCAATTGTCTTAAACTTAAAACAATTGGTGTACTTCTTCCCTAACTATGTATCCCCTAGAAACCTAGTTTATACATAGGTTTAAACAATCGTTCATATAAAATACATAAATACATTTTTCCAGTGACTTGGACAGAAAATTAATAAAATACTAGAAATATTTTTTGAATGGTTTCAGTAGTGAGTGTGCTGATATTGATATGTATAGATCTCTATGTTGTTCTAAGCAATGTCCTGTTCAGATAATTATGATTAATCGCTCCAGACTTGCTTTCCTACAGTT